TTCTAATATTAAAAAAGATTTAAATATCATTTTTAGTCAATATTAAGATTTTTAAGATATATTTGAGAAAAAGAATGAAAATATTCTTTTAAAATATTGTCCATATGATTGCTCAATTGACCTTCAATAATAAATTCAACTACCATTTGGACCAATCTATAGTTTATCACAAAATGAGTTGGCTGAACTCAAAGATTATATTGAAGAAAATCTCACAAAGAATTTTATATACCATTTAAAATCTTTAGCAAGAGCTCAAATTTTATTTGTGAAGAAAAAAGATAGATCATTATAGATATGTATCAATTATTGAAGACTCAACAAGATCACCATTAAAAATAGGTATCTACTACTTTTCATATTTGGACTTCTTGATCAATTAAATTAAGCTAAGATCTATAAGGAGCATACAATCTAGTACACATAAAATAAATAAATAAATAAATAAAAATAGAAGACTATATTTCAAACAAGGTATAGAAATTTTAAATATAATATCATATTTTTTAGACATATATATACACTAATAGATTTTTAACATCTAATGAATGATGTCTTTTGAGTGTTTCTGAATGATTTGGTTGTATGTTATCTAGACAACATCTTAATCTATTCTAAGAACACAAAGGAGCATAAACTTCATATTTTTTGTATATTACAAAAACTAAGAGATACAAGACTCTATACCCATTTATATATATATATATATATATATATATATATATATATATATATATATATATTTCACACTACTCAAGTCAATTTTTTGGAATACATCATTTCAAATAATAGAGTTATGATGGATTTTAAGAAAGTTCAAACTATTATGGATTAGAATTTTTTTAAAACAGTAATAGATGTCTAATGCTTTTTAGAATTTTCCAATTACTATTAGATCTACATCAAAGACTTCTCTCAAGTTGCAGCTCTACTTATACGTTTGACTTATAAAGACAAAATTCAATAGAATGAAGAAGTAAAAGGAATATTTGAAGCTTTAAAGATAATCTTTGTTTTTATACCAATTTTATATTAAGTTGACTTTTTTAAGTTATTTTTTATGGAAACAAATGCATCAAATTTTACCTTGAGTGCCATGTTGTTATAAATAAAAATAGATGATAAATTTCACCTAGTAGCTTTTCATTCCAAAAACTTTTCAGTACTTGAGATTAGTTATAAGATCTATGATAAAAAAAACTTCTTGCAATCATAGATTCATTTTAAGAATGGCACCATTATCTAAAAGATAATTTTAATTTATTCATTAAATATATAATTTATAAAAATATTAAGTATTTTATGTCAGCACACATTTTGAATCATTGCCAAATCTATTAGAATATATCCTTATCAAGATTCAAATTTAATATCATTTATCAATCATAAAAATAACAAATTTTATTAGATACCATTTTTAGATAATTTTATCTTGTATGAAAAGAAAAGAATGATACTTTTGATCAACAGTAGATAATTTTTCTTGAAGCCAAAGCATCTTCATCTTTGAGCAATGAAATCAATAATAACTATTGATTTAACCAATTCAAGAATAATCTATTATATGTTAAAGAGCACTCATTTTTTTCAAAAGGTGAAGCTCAATCACATGTTCTTCAAGTCCATCACAACTTTTCAACAACAATACATTTTAGATACAACAAGATTTTGGAATTAATATCCAAGAATTTTTGGTGGTCTTAAATATAAAAGGTGGTCAAAGATTTTGTACAATCCTATGATGTTTGCTCAAAATCAAAAATTCTTCATCATCAATCTTATAAACTTCTTTAGCCATTATCAATTTTAAAATAACCATGGTTTTTTTTATTTCTATAGATTTTATCATAGATCTTTCAATCTTAAGTTTTTATGACTTTATATTTGTGATAGTAAATTTTTTCATTAAGATCGTATATTTTATATTGTATATAAAATCTATCACAGATGAAGAAATAGCCAAAAATAATTTGATAATATCTATTGCTATCATAGATTATCTAAAGATATTATATTTGATAAAAAAACTTGGTTTGTATCAAGATTTTAAAGAATACTTTTTAAGATTTTAAAAATAGATATAAAACCATCTTTGATCAAATTGATGGATAAATGAAGCATATAAATTAAATTTTAAAATAGTATTTGAAGTGTACCATCAACTACCAATAAATTTATTAGACAATTCTTTTGCCATTGATAGAATTTTCTTATAATAACACAATACATTCTTCTATGCAACAAATATCTTTTTTTATTAATTATGGTTATCATTCATAACTTAATGTTTTTGATTTTTTACAAGTTGATAATTCTGCAATAAAAGATTTAGCAAATCATTTATCTGAGATACATATAACAATGAAGGCATGACTAAAAGTAGCTCAAGAATATAAAAAAAAAAAAAAAAAAAAAAAAAACAAAAAAACAATGTGAATGCCTATTGGAAGCAATAATTTTATTTTTACATTAATAAGGTAGGGTTACTATGTTATTGTATTAAAACTATTTGTTCTTGTGACAAGTTGGATTACTAGAAACTTAAATTATTTCTTATTTGTGAGCAAGTCAATTTAGTCACTTATTAATTATATTTATTAAAATTTATGAAAATCCATCTTATATTTTACATGTCTCTTTTAGAACCATATAAGACAATGAATATCTCGAAAAGAAGATAAATACCATTGCTTCTGATAAAAATAGATATTAATCAAGAATTTAATGTGAAAGAAGTCTTAGACTTGAGGCGGTGCCAACTTAGGTTGGAATATCTTATTCATTGGTGTAGATATGATATTAGCAAATACATATGGAACTTAATAAAATATCTTACAAATACAACAAAGAAGGTCAAAGCTTTTCATCAACAACATCCATCAAAATTAAGATGAAAGAAAGCAAATCTTTACTATAAAAGAAACACAATTTAAAAAAGATTGCATTCTATTTTCTATCCTTGTTTGTAATTTTTATATAATTGTATAATAGTGTTAAAAAAATAGAAAACAAATAGCCAAAAAATTCTACTCAAAAGCCATTATTTGCTGACTTATTGGATAAGACATTATAATTATTACATCTTTCAAGACAATGTAATAGACCTTCAAGAGTAATATCTTCATTCTCAAATAGATGGCAAGATACAACATATTTAGTATCATGACATGAGAAGAGAGTCTCAATATTTGGTGATTTTATTGGACTTGAAAACAACTCTTGATGGTGCTATAAATATTTTGTTTGAAGAAAGTTACAAAGGTCTCAATAATAATTAAATAATAGGATATTCTTTCCACCATGGAATGAGATGTTATTGATGGCTAAAAGGATCTATCAACTACCTTTGAAAGAAACAAAGATCATAGTATATGGCAAATACAATTCATCACATCTAAGACTTCTTTGACATGTAATCATTACTCTTCATGGAACTTGTTACTCAAAAGGGATATAATGTCAAAAACATATATTTATTGTAATTATTATTTATATAAGATAAATAGGTAGAAATAAATAAAAGTAGATTAATTTTATAATAACTTCTAGAGAAGCTTCCTAGAAGCTTTATAGATGCTACTTTGATTTTATATATGTTTGTAATTGATTGATAGATTAGAAACTTGGTTAAAAAATTAATCACATTCCACATATGTTAATAGTTTCTAAAACAAGCTAACTATATGGCATCCATGTAGAAAACTTGCCTTGCAAGTTAAGATACGTGTTGTATAAAGTCAATATATTTTGGAGATCCTATAGAATGTTGCCTTATAGCTCTTAGATAGATAGTATATATAGAGGGAAGAGTGAAGCCTTCTTCACTCTTGTAAATTTCTTTCTTGCTCCTAGTCTAGTTTCAAAAAGTCTCTAGTTTTTTTGTCTTTTGGCAATAGCCATTTTAGTTTTTTTTTAATAAATATAAATATGTTTTTATTTTATCATATTTCTTTGAGAAAAACTCACTTTTTTATTTGTTTTTATCAAGTTCTTATCCTTGACAATTATATAACATGAATCATAACATATAAGATAGTGCAACTATACACAATATATTAAAATTTCTACTTAAAATAATTTAATGTCTTCCATTAAATTATCAACATCAAAATATTAATATATATTTTTTCTTTTATCAAGGTGGTATATTCATGTTTATCTTTATTTAATTAAAAACTAAGCTTTTTAAAATATAAAAAATATTTAATATGCATTTTAGTGACTAAAATATTATTGTGATCTTATATTTACAAAGTTCTCTTTTAAATATCTAAGTTGTATTTCTTGTTATGTTCATGTTTAATTGAACATATAAATTATCTTTCTTAATTCTTTAAAATAGAAGAAGCAAAAATGAATTGAGTAAAAATTATCCTTTTGCTAAAAAAATACTTCAAAATTCACATCTTTGGAATGAATGCTATTCAATGAATTATCTTTTATAAAATGGCATTTAGATATAATTGTTTTTAAAATATTAAAGTTAAAACTTTGGAGTACAAAACATGTGATTTAGACTATTGTTATAAGAGAGAATTTGTTACAATTCCAATTTCGAAATTAATAATACTTGCTTGCATGGATTATGACACTCATTATTTAACATTATATATAAGATTTTCTATTTCTATTTTAGACAAACTATCTCCACATCTTCACTTGGCTCAATCAACTTTACTCTATTAAGATAAGTAGATATACCAAAAAAAATGGTACTTGCCCAAAGTTGTGATTTGGATGAACATAGCCTAAGTACATTCAACCACTTCGATACCAGTTAGGGCAGTTTGTCCCTGTCTTGTGCATGATCAATTAGGCGTCCACCGAGTCAATCCAGATCTGTCTCCGGAAATTTTCATGGTACAACATGCAGGACTGGTGACAAAAAACCAACCTGCTCGATCATTGTGATTCTCATACTTTTTGCACAACACTTGCACATTGTTTTACTGCTTTTGAAACTGCTACTGATCAGCTGAATGCAGAGTACCCACGTAAGCCTTTCACAAGCTCACTCTCCATCACGCATGGTTTTCAATGGTTCAATTACACAGACATGGCGTTTGTGCATATGAAGCCTTGTTGGGTAGCTCTTTCATGGCGCTTAGGTTTTTTCTTTTCTTTTCTGTATGAGGATTCGAGTGTTGTTTCTGTGGAAATGAACATTCCCGACATGATATGGAAACAATCCGATTCAGTCACAAATGGACATGAGTGTAATGGGGTAGTTGTGTTAAGGGCTAATCTGGAGCAAATATTGTGGGCAGACATGAAGAGTGTTGCTATGATCGTATTGCTGACGGCCATGGCGATGGCTGCCTCGTCTGTGCATGGAGCGTGCACCAACGACCTCTCTCCTTACGAGCCATGCACGCCTGCGATGTTCGGCACGGCACCTTCTTTACCCACCAGAGAGTGTTGCAATGTCATGAAGGTCAGTAACCTCACCTGTCTTTGCAGCGCCATTGCAACCGTTCAACTCCCCGAGTTCAATCAACAAGCGGCTCTCATGCTGCCCAAGCGGTGTGGCGCCGTTCCTCCCGGCATGACCACTTGCAAACGTAAGCTAAATCTGGGTCCCCCTGCGGATAAGATTTCATGCTTCAAAAGTGTCAAGGGCCATTCTTTTCAGAGAAAATTGCTTTTCCCCTTAAGTTATTCATCTGAAAATCTGTAATTGACGTGAGAAAAATGCACATCGGTTACAATTCAGTCCTTAGGAATTTGACTTAACTTCAAGAAATAGTCTTAGACCAACCTTCATCGTGGTTCTAATGTGGGGTGCGATTGATTTTGATCTATAACGTCCAAATGCGCAGAGGATGCAGATTCTTTCGCAAGTAAACTGATGAACTTGCAGTAGACACTTCAAGATACGACTGGCACTGAGCGATAGCATCGGAACGAGGTTCTTGAACTAAGCATTTCTATGTCCACTTACTGATCGTTTCATTTCGTGTTGATGAGTTTACGCTAAGATAATGGCTGAGCTTCACCTGACGTCTTCAATGCGGCAGGTTTATTTCAGACATAAACCCTAATTTGGAGTTTGTCAGAATGCAGAGAAATATCCACAAGACAGAATTCACGTCTATTAGGGTTGCAATTTGAGCCCACGCAAGTGTGGTACTGGATTGGGGCTTCCCCGGAGAACTAATTGGAACTGACGTCATGTTAGACTTCTTCGGAGATCCAGATATTTTAAGCTCTACAAATTAACTCCATTTCCTGAGCAGAAGCATATTTGTAATCGTCTTCTAAAATTGTGTTCATTTACCCCTTCGTGAAGATGAAGTCCCTCTGATTCAGCCGTTGTGCTTGAAATGCAATTTGATGATGTTTAAACTCTATCAAACATTTATTACAATACTCAAGCCATTATCATTTCTTTATTTTGCTTACACTGGTATGTATTCAATCACGATTATAGATCAGGTGAAATTCAACAATGCGCTAATCATTTTTCTGGACTTTTCCTCACTTGATTTGTAAAACACTGTTCAATTTTGGGGTAATTCTACAGCATAAAGACTAGGTGAATCCGTCCTTGAGAGACAGCCCTCTTTTACTCATTGAACTCCTCTTGAGTGCTGTTGAGTATTTTAATGACCAATTGCTGGAAGATTGACCGTCACTTCTGCATTGTTGTGTTCTGTAGTCCTATGAAAGGTTGAGTACTTCCTGGAGAGATAACCATCTCTATATACAAGCACACATTTGTGCTCATTGTAAGTATGCTTGTACATATGACCCTTTAGTTCAAACTCTCAAACTAATTAGTGGATCTCTCATTAATCTCTTCTTCAACTACTATGAAATAGACTATTTGCAATTGCATGCTAAAACAAGATTATATTGTTTCTTTTTTTCTCATTTATAATTAAGGCGAGTTACTAATCTTCTACACTATGCAAAAAGAGATTTTCGTTTCTTTTTTCTTTGGATAGACTCATCTGGAGACAAGGTTTGTAAAATCCATTTGGAAAGTGACGTTGCCAATGCTTCTCTAGGTTCTACTAGTTCTAGTCTCTTTTTCTTAAGAAGTTTGCATCATATATATATCTAAGCCATCTTAAGATAGGTATTAAAAGTTACTTTGTATAAAGTTTTTTTTTCTTATTTTACTTTTATCTAATGTTTTTTGGAATCCACTTCATATTTATATAGAGTAATAGATAAAAGAGAGTACAATGTTGTTTATAGTAACAACCATATTAGCTACATTAATTTTTTTAAACAATTATATTTTTTTTTGATGCAATTAACCAAGAATTAGTGTGTGTAGTGTTGAGATATTCATGCCAAAGACTTGTATGCATAACAATAACCTATATAATTCTAATCTAAATCATATAAAGGATAATTGAAAAATAGAAATATCAAGAAATAAAAACAATTACCTTGTTGATAACAAAGACACCATTGTTGCATAGCCACAAGATCTTCAGTGAATCCATGAGCTTATTGATCTTGAACTAAAGATTGCTTATTACAATCCATCATTTTCATCTAATACTTGACTAAAGAAGAAAAATAAATGTTACTTGTAAACATTTAACTCTTAGATGTATGACTACTAAAGCCAATAAAATGTTGTAGATTTTATATTTGTCAAATAAATTGATTTAAGATTCAATTGCCACAATGGTCTATATTACTAATAATTTGGAAATTAAGACATTCAATGATTTATGTGATATCATTTATTTCAATATTAAAGTCATTTGATGTTAAAAATGTTCCTTTTGGTCAAAAGAAGAAACTTCTTGTAAAATGACTGTTGCCAATAAACAAATATACATGTATATATATTAGAAAGATATGAGACTTAGAAAAAAATCAATAAAAAAATAAACTCTATTTTTTCTGCTAAAAAAAGGCTAGAAGGATGCAACTTTGTTTAAGCACAAGAGAAAGATATGCATTTTTTTTAAATACTTGAATATTTTTTTGGTAAAACCAGTGATGTATTCATCAACAGTGTTTCTGGGTTTATTTTGTAACACTTGAAATTCACAAGTGGGAATTTCGGGTCTAAAGGTTGAACAGTAGCACCCAAACTGGCTCATCGTCATGTTGAGTGGTAATACTCATGCATTCAGCGACGCAACTCTTTGGCACTGGTGTAGTTGTAGGATTTCAGGAACATCAGGTGTGATATGCAGAAAGCTATCAAATTGTTGGGGGCAGAGATGAAGGCTGCAGATCTGAGATCCATCATGAAGCGGTCCATTGGTTGCAGAACAGGGCCGAAATGGTGAATAAATAACTGCGTTTGTGGGATGCTGCGGAAGGTTGCTGAACGTGCACCGTTCAGCCATGGCAGTTGCCAGCAATTAAAACATGCATACATTTTTACATACATACAAGCATGATGCGGATTTCATATCTGATCCGTAAATGGAAAACACAGAATTTTTTTAAGATTTACTGTTTCCAACGCTTTTGAACTGTTCAAAATACTCGTTCCGAACAATTATGCAAGATGTCGTTGGCAATGAAAAGATTAAGCAGTATTACCAGGATAAAAAGCTTGTGGCAATTTTGAGTGCATAGTAACTTACCCTCGTTCTTGAACTGATTGTTTCAACGTTGTTAACTTTAATAAACAATGAGCATCATTGTTTAATACGATCAGAGAGTTAATTTTTCTTGTCCCCTCAGTGGCCATGAGCACCACATTTTGCACTAACAACTCCAATCGTCCATGCTAGCATAGTGTGTTGCTCCTAAAACCTCTAATTCAAAGTTACGCACTACTTATATCAAAGTTTAAGACCTAAAAGGTTCACTCTTTCCTTTTTCCAGAGAGACATCCTCTGATTCTTTCACTTCCCTTGTGATGAAAAGGTGGGTTTGCTTACATTTTTCTGGTCTTCATGCAATCTAAAGTCCTTGCTGCACCACAAGAAGAAACAAACTTGTGGAATACGGAGAGGTGAATCTGCCGGCACTAGCAGTAACACCTTTTAGAAGTCGCTGCATTAGAGTCTGCTCTACTCGAGGGAACAAGATCCAATACCGTCCACGATTTATCATGAATAAACTTGACAAAGGACTCCGCTGAAATACAATAGTCCCCACACCCAAACAAGCCAAATGTGGCAAGTGTTGTTGCATTTTTTTAATTACGTTAAGTCAATAGCTCTGACCAGAGTTCCCACTAATATACAAATATCAACAATTTGCAATTCGAGCCTCCGTCGAGTACATCACGCATGAGTGGCTTTGATGCACAATTTCATTAGAGGCTAGTCGTAATGATATGAGACTTCAATACGAGTTACCTATTGCACTAGAAACGTTTGTCATTTTTCGGGTCAACTCCTGTTTTTAAGCTCGGCTAATCTGCGGCTCAAATCATCTTCAGATACAGTTGATTCCGCATCGCCCAAAGGCATGTGAGAAGCTGCTTGCGGAAGACCCACAGATACCTCCAAACCGTAATCATCAGCGACTTGGTGCATAAGTGAATTCACCTCATCTTCAGGTGTAGAGAGACTGGTGCTGCCAGCCATGGCTGATTCCACGAACTCGGATTGTACTTCCATATTCACAAAAGTCTTTTCGAATTGATCCATGGTTTGAGAGATTTTTTCCATGTTTCCAACTGCAAGTGCACTATCGAGTGCCTTAACGATTGAACCCATAGACTTGGTTATTGTCTGCATTTTGCTTTGAGTACCAAGCCGTGAAACGACTGCATCAAGTCGAGAGGCAAGCCGCAAGTAGTTGAGCTGCTCGTTGTGTTTCCGGATTGCATTCTGCGCATAAATTCGTGCGCCATCCATGTTGCCCTTCTCAATTGCCTTCTTTACTTTGAGCTTCTCCGCCTTCTCCTCTGACTCACATTTTTTCGCTTGCCGAACCAAGGTCTTAGCGGTGAATTTCAGTTGAAAAATCTGATTTAAAAGCTTCTCCTGGCTGCCCCCCATACTTCCTCCCCCACCGGTCTGCTTCAACGACAGAAGCGCACCAAAGACCAACAAAGGATCAAACTCTCCAGCCCTATTCAGCAAAATTGTTCTCTAAGAAAAAAAAAACCACTCCACAACCCAATTCATCCACCCTTAAGGTTCACAAAAAGACCAAACTCTCCTCGGATCGTCCAACCAACGAGCGACATGCCCGCTACCTCGAAACCATCGCATGGCTCATCCCAAATCCAAAACCCTAAAACATGAATTCACAAATTTATACTCACCAGAAGCACAATACCACTATCAGCGGACTTGTCCAAGAGGGTCACAACTCTACGAAGCAGAATAATACGCAGGCCACCACGATCTCCAACCCAAACTGCAAGGACAATGAGTTTTCCACCAAGAAGCTCACTGGGATATTCAATAAGAAAAGAAAAGACAAAACCCCCAAATCACAAGTGCAAACAAGAACAGTAAAACGCTCCAAACGCAGCAGCAGCAGCAAGAAAGAGGAGCTGCAACAAATCTAAGGCGACCTGAAGAGAAGCAATTGAAACAAGGAGAGAGTGAGAGCACTCAACCCCTATTTATGAAGAATCCCGACTCCTGAGGCCGTGTCTGTTCGGTTTAAGTTGCCAAGAAAAGGGTGCGAAGATTCAACCCAAGCCAGCTAAATCCGACTCCGCCGGCTGTGTTCGACAACGAAATCAGGTCGTGGACGATGATCGCGTGACGACTTGTGCAAAATTACGGGGTTCCGGAAGCACAAGGTTAAAGCATGAGACTGCGAAATGGGCGAGGAATTCAAACCCTAAAATGGGCAATCCAGCATCTCGTTCAGTATGGATTCATTTCTTTGTAGGCTTTCGACGTACCCATTACCCATTTCTAAAAAATTAATGTAAAACTCCCTGATGAAAACTCTGAACACTTCATGTACATCAGTTACTTTAATTGACAAAATATGTGTGTTACTATATACATTAGAACCAAATATTTATGGAAAAAGGTGGAAATTAATTTACAAAAGGCTTTTTCTTTAAAACAATATCACAACAAAAAAATTGAAATACAAAATGTTATGTGGTTCTTGCAAAGTGGATAATATATAATATAGTTTAAAATCATGAGGTTAGGTTTTTGATAACATTTGATGACGAGCCTCTTTCTACCTTTTATATTTGTTGAGACACTTGAGTAAAGTCCAAAATTGGCTTGTGGTTTTTGATTTGATTTGATTTTATTTTATTTTTTCTTTGTTTTCTTGTTTTCTTATTTGTTTTTTTTTCAACAAAAATGAGATATATTCAATGTATTAATGGAGTGGAAAAAGTACAACAAACTACTTAATTCCTTATATCTAAAAGTATAGCTTAGTGTCATGAATATATACCTATTGTAATCATTACTTAAGTAGGTAGAATTATGTAAAAGTAGATTAATTTTATAATACCTTCTAGAAAAACTCTTTAGAAGCTTCTCAGACATTGTTTTGATTTTACATATGTTTGTGGTTGATTGATAGGTTAGAAACTTAGTCAACAAGCTACTTATATGCCACATGTGTTGGTAGCTTGCACAACAAGATAATTATGTGGTGGCTATATAGAAAATTTGCCTTATAAGTCAAGATACATGTCATGCAAAGTCAATATGTTTTTGGAGGTCCTATAGAACGTCGCCATATAGATCCTAGATAAATAGTATATATAAAGGCAAGAGTAAAGTCTTCTTCACTCTTGTCAAGTCCTTTCTTGCTTCTAATCTAGATTCAAGAGTCTTTGGTTTCCTTGTCTTTTGTCAATAACCATTCTAGTTTTCTTTTAATATACATACTTCTTTATTTTTATTTTGTTATATTTGTTTATTTATTTTCATGAAGTTCTTATCCTTGAGAGATTGACAAGAGTACACATATAATATTAGAGCTTTGTCTTCTCTTGATTAAAAAAGGATTACTCCTTTCTCTTGATAAGACATAAGCATATTAGAAGTTGTGGATTACTCTCTTCTAAACTAATATTGTTCTTAGTATCTTCTTTATTCTCAAGTCTTCTCTTTTGCTTGGCTTCAGCAATATTAGATTTTTTCTTTTCTTTTCTTTTTAAGTGTCATTATAACAGAGCTTCTTGAAATGAAGAGTGCAATAGCATAAATGCAAGAGCAATTGAGGGAGTTGATGCTTGCGATGCATCAACTGAGCTTATTATCACTTTGAGCAACAAAAATGGCAAGAAGTGAAGATACAAACATGATTAGAGTTGCTTCAATATCTGCACCAAATCACATCTCTTCTCCTATAGTAGAATATCCTTACACTATTAGAGCAACCAAAGTTGCCTTATGTGAGCCTAAAATCTACCACTCTATGGAATTAATACTACACAACAAACTCAAGAGGTAGAATGGAAGAACTTCCAATCATGAAATTGTTAAGTTAATTTAAATGTGGGTGTTTGTAGTTCAATTAATATTAATGCCTTTCAAGCAATAGTTACTAATATTAAACTAAAATATCTAATGAAATTCACTATGAAAAAATGATAAAAATAATTAATTAAGTTATTACTATTAACTCATAGTAAGAATAAAAACTTAAATTTAAGTTAAAATTAAAAATTAAAAGTTAAATTTAAGAGTTAAAGTTAAAAATTAAATTCAAAAGTTTAAGTTTAAAGTTCAAAGTTAAAAGTTAAATTTTAAAAGTTAAATTTGAAAGTTTAAGTTAAAAATTAAAGTTAAAAGTTAAAATTTAAAATTTAAAAGTTAAATTAAAAATTAAAAATTAAAGTGAGAATATTAAAGGTTAAAATTTAAAACTTAAAATTTATTAGCCAAAAGTTGAAATGTGGAGATTACAAGTCACACTAAAGATAAAAGTAAAAATAAAATAAGACAGGTAAAAGCAAAGGTACCTTGATAACATCCAAGGATTAAAGGCAGCAATCCCCTTCTACTCCAAAATTTGCCAAAAATTATAAATAGCTCCAAATTAAATGATTCTTAGTTTGTTGCAAGATCAATTTAAAGATGCTCCTGTTCCAATAAATCTTATTTTGATCTAGTAATCCAATCATAAGAATTACTCCTTTGAAGTTGAGTGATCTAAATTGCCACAGCAACCAACCTCCTTCAATTAGAAATTCGTTAAAACTTCAAATTATCTTCAAATCCAGCAAAACTTGTGTCTTTGAAAGCTTAGCTTATAAAGCTCAATGCTTCAAATATTTCAATTGAGTCCAATTATAAGGCACTGAGAAATGCCTTTTCAAACTCGATTAATCCAAACTGCAAATGCAGTCAACTCTCTTGTATTCAAAATTTTACCAAAAATTCAATTCAACTCCAAATTGAGAAAGCCTTACCTTGCTGAAAATCTAAAAACAAAAGCTACAATTAAAAGGAATTTCACATTGAAACTAAAAAAATTGAATGACTGATTGAGAAAAATCCAATGCTCTTGAAACCCTTAGAGTACTTGGGAGGCCAAGGGAGCTATTTACTACAATGAAGCATGTTTTAAAATACAATGACCATCATTCATGACTAAAAATCCATATACACAATGTTCATAATGAGATTTTAAAATCTAAATAAAATTAAGATTAGGATTTTTGGCCAAATTTTGGTATAGCTTCATCCTTCACCAAAAGAGGAGAGAGAAAAGGCTTGAAAAACCAAACCTTTCTTATACAATTGAGTAGAGGCTCATAGAGGGGTGGCTACATTTTTATCCTTGATTTTTAAATCACTAATCTAGATCTATGGCCTTCATTCATCCAAAAGCTAATTTCGTTATCAAGGCTAATGGCTATTGTAAGTGGTCAATAAAATAATTTTTGGTGAATTTAACTTCACCATTGTGTTCAAAATACCTTTTTATACAAAGATTGAATACTCACATGCCTCTACCTATGTTTATTTGCAATTTTTATGAAATTTTTTACCTCTAAAGTTTTTAGCAATTGTTGTAAAATCCTTCGAAAATGAAAATTCTATTGCTCTATTTATATGTTGGAGGAGAAGGTGCTGATCTTATTTTCTTTACTCCATGAGGTGAATTCAATGCTGCCATTAAATTTAAAAGCCTCTAATAATTGAAAAAAACTACTTTGCCACTTGGATTTGTTGAAGTTAAAGAAAAAATTTCAAAACTGTAATTGCTAAATTTCATTAAATTTTTTAGAAAGTTCTAATTCTAATTCACTCTAAATCATATGAGATGATTGTAGGTGAACTCATAAGCTTTCAATCAATCCTTATAGCAATGACTAATGACCTCTAAATTATTAAAATTAACTAAAAAACTATTCTAATTTTTAAATCCTTATCATTTTGATCTTAATTAATCTAATTCAAGGAATCGGGCTATGATTTATACCATCAAAGGTTACAATCCTAAAAATTTAATAAAACTAAATTCTACTTATATAAATTTTAATCTAATATGCTCAATTAAATAAAAATAAAATTAAAAATAAAATTTTGGAGTATAAATGAGAGCTCACACCTTACCTGAGAAGTTTGATGGTACAACTTATGATTGAACTTCAATCCCAAAGTTATCCAATACTAGGATTACAAGTTAAATTCATTAGTATAATTCTTTTAGGTTTAGCATTATTATGGTTTTCATTATTTTTTGAATGAAGAAATCCAATATAAGATAATTTGGAGGCTTTTTTGGTGGAGTTTTAATCCATGTATAGAAAACATGATGCAATTTGTGTTGCAACTAATAAAATTTGTATCTTGCAATAAGACAATCAATTAGTAACAATATATGCTTCATAATTTTGATAACTAGCAATTGATATCAAGTACGATGATATTACTTTTATTAGCCAATTTTTCTATGGATTACAATATGAAGTAAAGAAATTGATGCTCAATTTACCTGATCCTGAGACATTAAGTCAAGCAATTGATTTTTTTGTGAAGTATAACAATTCACTTTTTGAATTTCAATCTGAAAATCACCTAAGAAAACCTTCACGCTATTACAATTCAATGACAATACCAACAACCTCTCAATCTAAATATCTGATAGTAAAAGACATGCAAATTAATGCAATATATTTTAAACTTCTTATTAAACAAGAAAAGACTTGTCATTGTCAAGAAAGATTATATTTATATTGTGGAGAAGCTAAGCACATTGCTCAATATTATTCAAAAAAATGATGTAACTACAAAATAAAAAGTACAACTATCAAAGATACGAAAATATTGAAAAACAAATTTATCCTGCTACAATAGAGACTTCATGGCTAGAATCTTATACACATGAAGGTCATATTTTATAATAGATGTGTATTTAAGACCTAATAATTATAAAACCTTTGCCTTGATAGATTCACGAGCTTCAATTTATTTTTTAAATGAAGAGTTTGTTAAAAGCCATAGAATATCATTAGTACAAAAAACTAAACTTGTACATATAAAAGTCATAGATGGCCATCTATTATTTTTTGGAGATATTACTCATGAAAGATTTCTTATAGATATAGCAATAAATAGTCATAATGGTTGCATAATTTTTAATATAATTAGATCTTTGTCTAATCCAATTATTTTAGGTTTATCATAGTTAAAAAAAATATAATTCTTTGATAGATTGAACTTAGAATTAAGATTTTTCAACTTAGAATTAAGATTTTTAAGTTATTTTTTAGAGAAAGAATACAGATATTCTCTTGAAGCATTGTCCATATGATTGCTCAAACGACCTTAAAGAGAGAAGTCAACCACTATTTGGTCCAATCTATAGTTTATCACAAAATGAGTTGGCTAAACTCAAGAAATATATTGATAAAAATTTGG